CACCGCGCCCGGCCTGAGATGGGGTCTTGCTATGTTGCCCAGGCTGATCTTGAACTCCTGGGTTCAAGTGATCCTCCCCCCTTTGCCTCCCAAAGTGCTAGGATTGTAAGTGTGAACCACTGGCCGGGCCCATTTATCACTTTGTCTTGTAAGTTTTTTATTATGCTAATTGTCATCCATTCCTGCATTAGAATTTGAGCTCTGTGATGGTGGAAATCTTTTGTTATTCTCACACACACTCAAAAGGCCCAAAACAATGCTTAGCGTATAGTAAGTAGTCAGTAAATATTTGTTGGCTGAATAAAAGTCAGTAGCATTCTTTTTTACTTTAATCACAACCTTTTTGCACTATTTGGAAGCAGCTTAAATAATAGTTGACTTTTTAATGACAAGATTTGCATTTTTTCATAATGAAAGTAAACATTTTTGAAGGAAGCTTGTAACTTTGATTTGAAATTTTCAGATACTGAAGTAGATGTGGTTGGCCTATGTCAAGAAGGAAAGTTTCTTTTGGTTGGTGAGAGAAGTGGCAACTTACATCTTATTCATGTCAAGTCAAAGCAAACATTACTCACTAATGTAAGATGTTACATTTTTCGTATTATTTAAGTTTTAGACAAGTAAAACTCTAGGAAGCCATTACTTACCTGTGTTTCAAATTAAAAGAATCATTTGTTTTTTACATTAAATTTAAAAATCATACTTCAGAAACATAATGTAAAAGTAAAACTGGAAATTTAAGCTTTGAAGGTGTTTAGTAAGCTTGTTCAGAATAGTTTTCCATTTTAAAACTAAAATGTTTGGAATTTAAGCAGAATTACTGCTAATGATAGCCGATAACTCTAGGGTTAAAAGAATATAATTCTTTATTGTATTTTTCTTGGTTTAATCTTACCATTTGAAATCAATTTGCAATTAGGCTTTTGTTCAGAAAGCAAATGATGAAAATCAGTGTACTTACCAGAATCTCGTTATTGAGAAAGATGGTTCAAATGAAGGTAAGTTTCCTTGAATTTTTTTTTTAGTGACTACTGACTAATAATCAAAAGTTCATTATCATAATGACAGGGTTAAAAAAAAATAAAAATAAAAAAAATTCAAAGTTAAGGTTAATAAATTGTATAAATTCATTGTTATTCTACCTGCACAGAGTTAAATTCTTTTCTATTAATGCAGTTAATATTGTCGTAAGAAACAATTTTTTTATTTTAGCTCTTTTCAGAGGTTTAAATATGTACTTTTCCTAAATGTAGTATTCTAAACTCATTTTTACAGTTTTGAGAGTCCCATAGACTACCAAGGAGACATTTTTAAAAAATGTTTTTGTAGGTTTCAGCATATTTATCATAGTCTGATTTTGACAAATGTTAACTGGGCCTTAATTTATTTTGATATATTGAGGTTTGGTTTTTTTTTCTGACGAGTAAAGTTTGTTTTTTTTAATAAAAATTTCAAAGAAGTTAACATTGTTTTTGGTAAGAACTTACTAAATCTTTGTAGGTAAGCCTTATCTATCTTATTACTATATTTTTTG